AAGTCGGTAATCACTATTTTGTCTTCATAAATCAGATTTCGATAAATCGAATGATATTTCGATTTCACGGTATGTTCTTGATTAATATAATATGCACATTATCGGTGTAATATCTCCTACAGAAAATAGGACAGGCAAGCCTTGCACTGTTGCACAAGTGAAGGAAGTGAAATTTTATTTAGGGATGGTTCCTATGTGGACAACTTTCCTTATATTCAGTCTGGTTGATGCGACGGGGAGTACCTTCTTTCTCAACCAAGCTAGAAAGATTGATAACAATTTCCCTATTACTGTTTTTAGTATATTAGTAACAGTCACAAGCTTCGCAATTGATTGTCTATGTGGCTTCCTATTTCGAAAGATTGGTAATGAAATGAATGGACAAGTCATAATGCAGTGGAGAATCGGTGTTGGAATGGCATTTTCTTTCATTTGTTGCATTTTTGCCTACAAAAATGCAGTCCACTGGTTGGATTTGGTCAGCACACAGCCAAGTATGCATATGGATATTTTTAGCCTAACTCCACAATTTCTCTTGTTGGGAATTATGAAAGGACTTTCTGAAAGAGGGCTTCAAAGTTTCTTTCGTTCTCTGCTTTCTGAATCTCTAAGGGACTACAGGACACCATTTGGAGAATGTGTGATGGGCATCGGAAAGTTTCTGTGTACACTTTGTATCCTCAAAAGCTGGTTTGGGCATGATATAGAATCAAGTCGAATGGACAATTATTATGCGATCCTGACCATTCTAAGTTTTGTTAACTTACTAATTTACTGTGTTGAGCTTGCGCTTGCGCACGGTTATGGAGATGCACCTCAAGAAGTAGACTGTGAACAACCCATAGAAGGTCCACAAGCCAGTTCAAGACCTTTGATATTGCGATCTCCTATGATCAGACTTCAAATGACCTTCAATTTATCAGTGTTTCAACAAGTGTTGATGGGAAAGTTAAATCTTGGAAGATAATCAAATATATGCAGTATCTATTAGGATCTGTATTATAGGAAAATATATTTGGGTATAAAACTTTATAAGCTAGCTTATATAGTTGATCTTCTTGACATATATAGCTTAGTATTGANATAGCTTAGTATTGATTGTATATAAATCCATGTATCTTGTATATTGAATTCTCAGAATAATTCTTCAACACATTGTTTATTTTCATGGTATCAGAGCATTGTCCTAATAGCTCTTGAAATCTATTACCTTCCGCTAAAACAAAGTCATGACAGAAACCATGACTAAAGAAACATCAATAGACACCAATAAATTGAATCTCTATTCTCTACATCACTCGGATCATCCGGGTATTGTTCTTGTCTCCAAACTGCTTGAAGGAGATAACTATAGCACATGGAGTCGTGCTATGCACATTGGTTTGAGTGCTAAAAATAAAATAGGATTTGTAACAGGTTCTATCAAACCGCCTCCTTCGACAGATGCAAGTTTCGCGTCATGGCAACTGTGCAACAATATGGTCTTGTCATGGCTATTGAACTCTATTAATCCAGACATAGCAAGTAGTGTCATATATGCAGAAACTGCTGCAGAGGTTTGGGCTGAGCTATAGGAGCGTTTCTCTCAAGGGAATGACTCAAGGATTTATCAAATCAAGCGAGAAATCGCAGAACATAGACAGGGACAGCAATCTGTTTCTGGATACTATACCAAACTTAAGGCTTTTTGGGATGTGCTTTCATCCTATAATGACTCTCTAACCTGCTCATGCGGTGGCATGGAAAAGCTTAACAAAAGGGAAGAGAAGGAGAAAGTCATGCAATTTCTCATGGGATTGAATGATAGCTATTCCGTCACTCGTGGACAGATCTTGTTGATGCAGCCCCTACCCGACACTCGCCGTGTTTATTCGCTCGTGCTTCAGCAAGAAAAACAGGTGGAAGTTTCGCTCAATCGTGACAATATTAATCATCATGCTATGTTTGTAGATCAGCATACTAGAGCAATACAAGCAAATCAAGCTCAGAAGCAAAAATCAAGGGACACATTACATTCTTCATACTGTGATCAAGACTATCACAGTATTGAGAAATGTTATTTTCTTCATGGATTTCCAGTGGGCCACAGACTCCATGAAAAAAATGTCAAGCCTCCCAATAAACGGCGTTCGAGTGCCAATTATGTAAATATTGAATCAGGAAAAGTGGCAAATACAGGTTCTTCTAATGATGAACCTAAATTCACAACTGAGGAGTATAATCAATTGATGGCCATGCTTCGGCAAAATAATGATTGTAATCTACAACACTTTGCAAACAACACAGGTATTATTACACCATCTTCTGATGTTATTCCAGCCACTTGTCCCTCAAATTTATGCTGGATTATTGATAGTGGAGCTACAGATCATGTAACATCTTCAACTGAGTTATCAAATAAAAAGTATTTACCCAAATCAGCCACCATTCAGTTGCCAAATGGTGGTCAGACACAAATTGAATCTGTTGGTTCTTTACATGTCACACCAGATATCAAACTTGATGAAGTGCTTAAAGTTCCTGAATTCCATGTCAATCTGTTATCTGTTAGCAAGTTGACACGAGCATTGAAGTGTATAGTGATATTCTTTCCTGATTTTTGTGTCGTGCAGGACGCTGCTACGAAGAAGATTATTGGCCTGGGAAAGCAACATAATGGTCTCTACTACCTTACCAAACATCAGAATAGAACCTTAGCCTACAACATCAGCAAACACTCGCATATGTGGCACCAACGACTTGGACATCCATCTTCAGGCCCGTTTCAAGTTCTTACCAAAGTCAATCCTGAAATTTATTTTGATTCCAATCATATCTGTGAAATTTGTCATTTAGCCAAACAAACTCGTTTATCTTTTCCGTCTAGTTCAATCTCTTCACACTCACCTTTTGATTTGGTACATTGTGATATTTGGGGACCGCATCAAATAAATTCACATTTTGGGGCTCGTTATTTTTTAACAATTGTTGACGATTTTACTCGTTATACATGGATACATCTTATGAATTTTAAATCAGAAACACGGGGAATATTAAAGTCTTTCTTCTCTTGGGTAGAAACACAATTCAATTGTCATGTTAAAATCTTACGTACAGATAATGGTCTGAATTTGTATCTATGAAAAATTTTCTGGACACTAAAGGGATTGTCTTTCATCATTCTTGTACCTCAACACCTCAACAAAATGGGGTTGTTGAACGAAAACACTGCCATCTTTTAAATGTAAGTAGAGCCCTTCGTTTTCAAGCAAATTTACCGTTGAGTTTTTGGGGAGAAAGTGTCCAAACTGCATGCTATTTGATCAATCGCCTACCTACGCCACTTCTTTTCAATAAATCTCCATATCAACTACTCCACAAAAGACCACTTGAGTACAACCATCTCCGCACTTTCGGATGCCTATGTTATGCCACAAATCTTACGCCAACACATAAATTCGATCAACGAGCTCGTCGTTGTGTATTTATTGGCTATCCTCTTGGCCAAAAGGGCTACCGGGTTTATGACCCTCTCACACGTAAGTTCTTTTCTTCTCGATATGTCATATTTCACGAACACATATTTCCATTCAAATCTCAAAATCAAGAATTTTCTCAAGATGGTGTTGTGCTTTCATTACCTCAACCTTTCCCTGAATCCAATACACAACCGAATACAAGTGACAATATATCATCATCAACGGACATAAATTTACCCCCTCTAGATGTGCCTCAAACAAATGACCTTACTTCCCCTGATATTGTCACTACCCAACCAACCTCTGTTGTCCCTTCCCTTCGTCGATTAGGTAGACATCAACAACCTAATAGAAATCTTCGTGACTATCATCTCTATAACTCGACCATGATTGCTCCGGGTTCATCATCTTCTTCAGGTACGCATCATCCACTTCATCGATATATTTCTTATGCACAACTTGCTCCTCATTATCTCTGTTTTATATGCAATATCACTAGTGCTATGGAACTATTAACTTATGAATAGGCTGTTTTGGATCCTCGGTGGCAAGAAGCCATGGCGGCAGAACTCCGTGCTCTTGAGCAAAATAACACATGGACACTTACTTCTCTTCCACTTGGTCATCGTCCTATTGGGTGCAAATGGGTATATCGGATCAAATATAATTCGGATGGCATTATTGAAAGGTATATGGCCCGTTTGGTGGCAAAAGGTTTCAACCAACGTGAAGGAATCGACTACAAAGAGACATTTGCCCCTATTGCAAAATTAGCTACTGTTCGTTGTCTTCTTGCGATAGCTGCTGTTCGTGGTTGGTCACTTCACCAAATGGATGTTCAAAATGCTTTCCTCCACGGTGATTTACTTGAAGAGGTATATATGCAGCTTCTTCCTGGTTTTCATCGCCAGGGGGAGAAACCTGTAGTGTGTCGACTCAACAAAGCACTTTATGGACTTAAACAAGCCTCGCAAAGTTGGTTTCAGAAATTCTCCAATGCTATCCAACAATATGATTTTCATCAGTCACGAGCTGATTACTCCTTGTTTACTAAGGTATCGGGTAACTCTTTCACGGTTGTTCTTATTTATGTGGATGACATGATCATTGCTAGCAATGACAATAAGGAAATTGCTGCACTTAAAGATTTCCTTTGCACTAAATTTCGCATTAAAGACCTCGGTCAATTGCGATATTTTCTTGGAGTTGAAGTAGCTCGATCTGCTCAGGGAATCTCGATTTCACAACGCAAATATACTCTTGACATTTTAGACGAAGGTGGTTTACTTGGAGCCAAACCATTAAATACACCCATGGAAGAAAATGTTAAACTTCTGCCTTCAGAAGGGGATTTATTAAAAAGCCCAGCCATCTATAGAAGATTAGTGGGGCGACTTATATATCTCACTATCACAAGGCCAGAAATCACATACCCAGTTCACATTTTAAGCCAATTCATGCAAGAGCCGAGAAAGCCACACTTAGATGCAGTCCACCACCTTCTAAGATATTTAAAAGGGGCACCAGGACAAGGTTTATATTTTCCAGCCAAAGGAGACTTACATATCACAGGTTTTTGTGATGCGGATTGGGCTCGATGCACTATCACAAGACGATCTGTTACTGGTTATTGTGTTTTTCTTGGAAGAGCTCTCATCTCTTGGAAAACCAAGAAGCAAATGACTGTATCAAGGTCTTCAGCCGAATCGGAATATCGAGCGATGCTTCCATTACATGTGAGATCACTTGGCTCAAATACTTATTGAATGACTTATCAGTCAAGCATCTACAACCAGCCAAATTGTTCTGCGATAGTCAAGCGGCTTTGCACATTGTAGCCAATCCAGTTTACCATGAGCGTACCAAGCACATAGAAATTGATTGTCATGTTATTCGAGAACTAATTCAATCAGGAGAAATCGTGACTGCACACGTTCCCTCTGGTAGACAACTTGCAGACATGTTCACTAAACCACTTGGACAGGCATCATTCAGTTTCCTTCTTGGCAAGTTGGGTGTTCTTGACATACACTCTCCAACTTGAGGGGGAGTGTTGACGGGAAAGTTAAATCTTGGAAGATAATCAAATATATGCAGTATCTATTAGGATCTGTATTATAGGAAAATATATTTGGGTATAAAACTTTATAAGCTAGCTTATATAGTTGATCTTCTTGACATATATAGCTTAGTATTGAATGTATATAAATCCATGTATCTTGTATATTGAATCTACAGAAATAATTCTGCAACACATTGTTTATTTTCAGAGAACACGATCCTTACCGAGTATGATGCCCAATAACCCTCCATATATCAGTGTTTCCCCAAAGATAACACGGTCCTTCTCAGTTCCTGCACGCCCAAGAACTCCAAACAGGCTGGACGATGCACTCGCACAGGAGAACGAACAACTACATATAGAAATATTTGATTGTGAGCATCATGATGATTTGTAAAATTGGTCAATGATATTACTGATAAAAATTTTTCACTCTTGTTGCTAGAGAACCTTACTTATAATTATTGGTAATAATCATACATTCAGATAATCATACTTACGGTTCTCTCAGCCATCAATTCTATCCCCAACAGATCCTTCCTATTTTATAGATATGTCTTCGATTAATTTACAACAAATAATATTTTTCAGAGCTTAGTCTTTATTCTATCCCTTTCGTCCGATGGCCCAAACCACTGATAAATCATCAACTGAGAACCAGTTCACGAATTGAGCAGCCTAAGAGTACATCTTCCCCATATTACCTTTAGGTGTCTACTCCGTTGGTGGCATGGCAGCCATTTTGGTCAAAGATACATTGTTGGACTAATGCTTAGCAATTGTGCCACTTTTAAGGGGAAATTAAGCCCAATACGAACTTTAAGTTTGAAAATTGATTAATACAACAAATTTGATTTTTTTTCATCAACCTTAAATATAACCGTAGATTATACGTTCAGCCTAAAACCAAACCCTAATCCACTCATTACCGCCACATGACCAGAAGTGATGAAATCAAATGAGATTCAGCCCTATTGATCATCACCGTTGGCACCATTAGAGACGATTGGACCCATGGGTGAAGAAGGCAATAGAAGTGTTCATGAATCGAAGGGGAGGAAGAGAAAGTGTCCACTGTGGAGTGAAGGCGGTTTGATTTTTCTAACCCATTTCGTACCACTTTAAATTTACAATTCTCAGTGATGATGTTATAAAATTATTATCTGACCAATCATTCTTTTTGTTCTATTTTTTGTAGGATTGGGAGCTATTGATACCATATGAGGCAAAATTATTAGATTGTCTATTGAAAAGTTTTATCTATTGTTAATGCAGTGGATTTCATGTTGGTATAGTGGAATGTGATTCTCTTCATTTAGTTCAAATTATGTCTTCTAATTTTTCTTTTGTGCCAAACGAAATTGTTTTGTTTTGTATTGTTACGTGAGTTAACTCATATATTGCTTTTCAATTGCCAAATTGTTATCTATCTTTGTCTTTGGTGTTGTTTCTACTAAGGCAATGATTAGCGGTCTTTTTAGCTTTATGCACATACATCATATTGCCTCCTACACATAGAGTAATGTATTTATTCAAAATTGTTTTCCCTACTTAAAGATCGGTGTCAAATGTCTTGATTATAGTTGGTGTTCAAGATTATTTGTCACTTTTTTAAATTATTATCACTTTATTGAATAACTTTCAAATCCAAGTTAATATGTTAGTTAATAGAAGTGAAAACATAATTTAAAAAAAAAACATACGAAAGGAAATCAACCATTCCCTCGATCTATGCTAAAAACATTTGTCTTTGATTAATTTACAAGAAAAAATATTTTTCAGAGCTTAGGCTTTATTCTATCCCTTTCGTCCGATGGCCCAAATCACTGATAAATCATCAACTGAGAACTAGTTCACGAATTGAGTAGTCTAAGAGTACATCTTCCCCATATCACCTTTAGGTGTCTACTCTGTTGGTGGCATGGTAGCCATTTTGGTCAAAGATACATTGTTGGACCAATGTTTAGCAATTGTGCCACTTTTAATTGGCAAATCCCAGTCATTTATTTTGGACTGCTGGCCCGATTCAATGATCCACTTGTTACCTCAAGTATTCACAGTACAATTTTAGTGTCAATTTTAAAAGAATAAAGCTGGGTGGCCCGGGCCTAGGCCCCCTACCAATAGGGATGCCATGTGGCGCTCCTGGATGGCCAGGGCCCATGTGGCCTTTGCCACATAGCAGAACTCATTTGGAAACAGTAGTGTTACACTTACCGTCCATTTTACCTAATATTTTACAGTGTGGCTGACGTGGCGATAAATTCAAAATGTCAAAGGAAAATCTCGTATACCAAATAAAAAAAACAGTAAACAAAATAAAACACATGGAACCCGCCATTCATTTCAGCCCCTTTTTGACATTCAACAGATGAGTGAAAACCATGGAACCCGCCATTCATTCTGAGAACGCATTTCATGATGCCGACAACATCAACTCCGGCGTCATCGACCCGATGGTGGACGAAGCGTACCCTCCCCTGTCCATTGCTGTCGACCCTATTTGCGAAGGAGGTGTAGAATATAGTGAAGCTGTCGACCCTACTTACGACGGAGGTGCAGAATATTGTGCCTTAATTTTTTTTTTCTTTAACCCGTAAACCTTCGTTTCATTTGAGGTTATTGTGATATTGTTGTTTCAGACTTTTATTTTTGAAGAACCCAGTTGAAATATTCAATTTTTCACAGCATGTTTTTGTGGGTGTTGGTCGGTGTATGTGAGTTTTTTGTGTGGGTGTCGGAGGTGCAGAATATAGTAGGTGTATGTGAGATTTTCTCTTTTTCTTTTATGTGGTGCAGAATATAGCATGTAAAATGTGATGAAGAGAACTTATTTGAGCAATCTTCTGGAGATGGAAAGTTGAGCGAGTGTGTGATGCAGAAAAGTTATTTGTTGTATCTTTTGGAAATTCATAAAAATCAAATTTCAATGATTTTGTGCCAACTATTCTACTTGGTTTTTGATCAATTTTTTTTTTTAAATGTAGGATATGTGGAAGTTATTTCATCTGAACGTGACAATCCGAATGATATGACCTCGTGGGAAGAAACGGACATTATTGTGCTTAGTGTTGGAATGAAGTTTAAGGATGAGAGACAGGTGTTTGAGTTTTACAAAAACTACGCTTACCAAGTTGGTTTTCCTGTGAGGAAAAGAAATTCAAAGAAGGGTGATGACGGGGTTGTACATTATGTAACCTTTACGTGCAGTCGGGAAGGCCATCGAAACAGTGGAACGAATGCAGTTTTGAAGCCTCAACCAACCATCCAAATTGGTTGCAAAGCAAGATTGACTGCATGTTCTAAACTTAATGGAATTTGGCATATTAATACGGTTCATCTGGGGCACAATCATAGAACAAGCCCATCGAAATCACGACTCTATCGATGTAATCGCCAAATCAGCGCACGAGTTAAAAGACAACTTGAAATAAATGACATCGTTGGTATACCATTGCACAAGAGTTTTAACTCAGTCGTAGTTGAAGCATGTGGTTACGAGAATATTTCATGTGTTGAGAAGGATTGTAGAAATTTCATTAACAGAGTACGTCATTTAAGACTTAGTGAAGGAGACGCTGTTGCAATACAAGCTTATTTTTCGAGGATGCAAGCAAGTAGTCCTGGCTTCTATTTTAGTATAGATTTGGATGAGGATGCCCGTCTGATGAACGTATTCTGGGCAGATAACAGGTACAGACAAGCATGTAAGGAATTTGGTGATGTAATAACTTTTAACACCACGTACTTGACTAACAAGTATGAAATGCCTTTCGTTCTTTTTGTTGGAGTAAACCATTATGGGCAATCCACTATTCTTGGTTGTGGTTTGGTTTCATCTAAGGATACAAACACTTTTGTATGGCTATTAAGAACCTGGCTTCAATGTATGTATGGTAAAGCTCCAAATGGGATTATAACAGATCAAGATCGAACTATGCAAAATGCAATTGAAATTGTGTTTCCAAACACAAAACATAGATGGTTCTTGTGGCATATTCTGAAAAAGTTGCCTGAAAAATTTGGTGGCCACAGACATAAGTGAGAAGTTCTTTTTGCTGTGCATAGGTTGGTGTACGATGTGATAAGTTGTGAGGAATTTGAAAAAGGTTGGAATAAGATGTTGAAAGATTACGAATTTGTGGAAATTCTTGGTTGAATGGACTGTACAAGGAGAGATTTCAATGGGTACCATGTTATTTGAAAACTTCATTCTGGGCGGGTATGTCAACCACTCAATGAAGTGAGGGCATTAATGCATTTTTTGATGGCTATGTTCATTCGAAAACATCCCTAAAGCAATTTGTTGAGTAGTATGAATGTGCATTGCGAAGCAAAGTTGAGAAGGAGGTCCAAGCTGATTTCAAATCATTTTCACAGATGGTCCCGTGTGCGACAAGTTACGAACTGGAGAAGCAATTTCAATGCACGTACACAATTGCAAAGTTCAAGGAGTTCCAAGAACAGTTCACTGGAAAGGTATATTGTAAAGTATTATCTGTTCATGATTCATACTTGCGTACTATGTACGAAGTACGTGAGGACATCATTTTGAATGAATGTACGAAGACAAAACTATTTGAAGTGTGCTTTCGTAGGCATGAATGTGAATTTGAGTGCAATTGTCATTTGTTTGAGTTTAGAGGAATTATTTGCAAGCACACAATCACCGTTTTGATTCGAAACCAAGTCAAATTTGTATATGAGAAATATATATTGCATAGTGGAGGAGAGATGTGAACCGACCGTACACAAGGGTTCCAATCAATTACGATGGTTGAATTAGTACTCCGGACCAAGTTAAATATGAGAAAATGTGCAATGCATTTACCAAGTTAGCTGATTTGGTAGCACATGACACATCGCGATCAGAGGAAATTATTGAGTGGATTGAATTTCAAACCAAAGAATCATCGTTGGTGAAGTACATAATGCAAGTCTTCTCTCTGTCCGATGAAGCAGGAAAGTCTATTGGCGGATTTATCTTAGACCCGAAACACACGAAAAGCAAAGGAGCTCCAAAAAAATTACATTTTGAGACTATTTCAAAGAAATCAAAACATTGTCAAAAGGTTTGATATTTCATTTATTTTCGTGTGAATTGTGACCATCATCGTATAATCATAAATCATTGGTTTTTTTAATGCCTCATAGGGGCCAACGAAGTCCGGTACATCGAAAAGGCATAAAGATAATGATTTGACTTTATTGAATGACCAGGTTAGTCGGCTTCAAATTCAAATATATGAAGTTCCTTTAGTTTAGTTGTGAGATGTTCGTCATTGACATGAACAATTTCTTTTTGTAGGATGTTCAATTAAGTAACACACCCCATCACAGCCATTAAAAAGTCAGCACACAAGAAAGCGTGTCTGGTTATAGTTTTCGCATGGCGTAAAAATGGATACATTTTTTTGGATGGTTATTTTGTTAAGCTTTTGTGTTCGGCAGCTGCAAGTTGTTGGATAGCCTATTACGTTGGCAGTTTCCTTTTTTGTAAATTTGTTGGATAGCTCCTTTTTGTACATTTTGAGTAGACGGTAGTTGTTGAAAGGCTGGTCTAGGAAACTTTTTTGTTGTAAAAGATGAATCTCCATATTGTTGGAACATAGTAAAAGGAATTGCAGATATTTATGTATGCTTTGGAACATACTTTCTGAAGAATTATAATCAATCTTCTTGCTGAGTAATGGAATTCTGTTGGATAATGAAATATGCTTCTTACTGGACATGTAAATAGAAGGAATAAGAATAATTCTATTTGGTAAGAATTTGTACATCCATTTATATTCAAGCATTTGTACATCCATTAACACTAAAGATAAAATATTTACAGCTACATCTCATTACATCGAAGTTTATAAAACATCTTCTGAACCTCGTTTCCCTTTGGCACACGTTTCCAATATACGCGACAAATCATCAACGGGTTCACTACTATTGGTAATACCACTTGATCGACCTTCATCTTGCAACGGATATGCTACGTCGGGAGGTGATTTATTCCAATCGAAAAACTGACAAACGTCGCGGGTACAACAATGGAACAAACGACCTTTGTTATCGGTTTGCTTTTCCACCTCCATCCATTTTACATAGCCTTGGCCACAGTTTGGACATCTTCTCTTTCCGGGGCAATCTGATAACATGTGCCCCGACCGTCTACACGAATGACATATCCCCTAATTCCTTCTGGCCATCGAAGAATTCTAATAGAAAAACGAAAAATAACCACATCACAATAATCTCCAAATCAGCGATTAAATGTAAATGCAACATCGACTCAATTCTAAAATTCTGATTGCATAAATTGACAACATGAATATCGGAAACATTGGTGTAAAGCTCAAGCAGTACAAACATCTATACATCCTAAGCATTCCACACAAACTGAACCAAGGGAGAATTGATTTCCATACATTCGACAGTTGAAACTTAACATTATGTGACGGAAAATACCAAGTAATTTATGAAACCCCATTTCAAGGCCGAAATGTTTGTCACTGGCGAAACTAACTTGGAGAAGCTAGGCCACTGGAAAATACCAAGTATACCAAGTAATTTATGAAATAGCAAGTAAAACCCAAATGTTTGTCAGATATAATACTAGTCGGTGGTGGGTATGGGTAATTTTGTAGAATATAGCATACGAAAGTAGGCGAAATATCTTTACTGGAAAATACCAAGTATACCAAGTAATATATGAAACAGCAAGGAAAACCCAAATGTTTGTCAGAGATAACATTGGTCGGTGGTGGGTATGGGTAATTTTGCAGAATATAGCAGACGAACGCACGAAACGAACATGGGCTACCTACTAAATTGGAGAAACTAACCTGGAGAAAGTAGGCTACTTTCTAAATCCCGTAGGCGAGTCTTTTACAAACAATGGTCGTAGATGCGCTGACGAGATTCCAAAAATTGGTGCAGATCGAGAGTGGGGAGTGTCGGGAGAGGGGATTGTGAGTTTACAGTGGGAAAATCGGGTGAGGGAAATTTTAGAGAAAGTGGGTAGGGATTCAAATTCAAATGTGGCGATATTTTCATGAGCTTTTGCATTTTTGACCGTGCCGCTATATTTGACTAAGGAAACTGCCACATCAGCTTTATGTAAATGGTTCGGTGGTTCACTCTGTTGAAATAGATTTTTCCATTTGGAAATAGTTGAGATGATTACATGTGGCAACTTTATGATCGTTGATGAAAGGGCTTGGAGGATGCTGCTTGTAAATAGTAATTACTTCTCATTTGATAGAGAACTTTTTCTCTTTTCTCTGTACTCTTCATCCTTTCTTGGTGGCAGATTTTCTCGCCAAGTCGCCCTCGTACAGATGCTGAGTGGTAGAATTGTAACAGTCGAATTAAATATGTTTGTGGTGAAAAATTTTATGAAATGTTATTAAGTGTAAATTATGTAAACTAAGTGGTATACTATGATGTACATATAGCAGAACTCTTCTTGTAGAGGTTTGATGTAAATAGAGAGTTCAAAAGCTTGTATATTGTTCTTGGTGAACAGAATCCGGTTACTTGATATAATTTTGGTTTCTAAGAGAGTTGTGAGGGGTAACTGTATCGAATAGCATTTCTTAGTAAATTTTCACTGATTCTCTTAACTTACCAAATGACATGTTTTGATTGTTTCTCATATTTTCTTCTAATTTTACCCTTTATAAAAAATAATTATTTTTAATCAACATACTTTGTTCAAAACTAACTTGTAAATAAAAATATTAACCAAAAAATTTATTAGCAAAAAAATTACTTATAAATAAAATATTACTTATAAAATAAAAATCACTTTTATGTAAAAAACAAAAAATAATTATAAAGTAAAAATAATTATTTTCAGCAAAAATTTACTTAAAAGTAAAAATTCACTTGAAAATTATTTAAAACTACAAAATTTACTTATAAGTAGTAAGTAAATATTTAATTTTATTTAACTTTTTAACTTGAAATTCTAACTAAATGACGTATGTAATTTTATTGTTTTAAAAAATTTCATAATTGGTGGATAATAAATTCACAAGCATGTTGGACTGTTTTAAAAATGTGTACTTTAAAAAATATTCATAATCTCTATCTCGAAACTCTCAAGCAAACCCTTAGATGAATCTTGAGATGATGATTTTGCATAACCAAGAAAAATGATGGTGTAAGACAGAAACGTGAATAATAATAAAATATTTTTGTTCGTAACAAACAAATGGATGTTTGCTTGAAATTTGAAATAAAAATTATGCTGAAAGATTTTTAAGGAAGAAACTTAAAGAGCTTTTTTTTTTTCGTGTGTATTGAGACTTTGTTTGATCTCCATTTTTTTTAAAATACTTTTTTTCCTTTTTTTTTTCAGTACACATTCTTCAATAAAATAATATTACACAACCCAAAAAATTTTCATTTATTTTTAACTATACATTCTCCATCAATTTACTATTTTAAAATGCATTCCACACAAAAAAAAATGGGGCTCAAACAGACCTTAAATAAAAAAAAAAATGTTGAATCTAAAATTTCATTTCACAAAAGTTGCAAGTCTTAAAATCCATATTAATGAGCTTTCTTACTTGGTAGCATCTATTATTTCAGGCATTTTCAGAAAATATACCTAAAGTTGTTTTTTCTTTTCTTTTCCTGTACTCAAATTGAAGTTGTACTGATCTCTTATTTATTATTATTATTATTTTTTTATGTATATACCGCATTTGCTATATGTTTTTTTTTTTGTAGAAAGTAACTATTTAAGCTTACGATGTTTGAAATTCTTCATTTGGAGAAACAATGGATAAAATAAAGCTATTATCGAAATCATGACAATTTTCGATAAACGTATTCCATAACTCTTGAATAATCTCTTCGTGAGTAGGTTATCTATCAATGTATCATTTTCAGTAAAATAATTTAAGAGATGGTCGGCATCTATCACATTTTTGTAGGTTGATTATAAATGGCTTCACGTTATTAATTGATAAATTAATAACCCCATCTAAAATAATATTTTTTTCTCGACCCCAATACTATTATTTTATAAAAGTTCAACTGTACATTTGGAATAGAAGCGCGCGCGCACACACACATATATATGATGTGGTGATTGTACAAGAAAGTGAAATCCATGCGTTAAACTATCGATCATTTTGGGCACACTCTATTTAAACAGATCAATTGTATCAAGAATGCAAATGTTTAAGAGAATAATTACTTCCTCGATTTAAAATTTTGGACAAAAATGCAATGATCCATATTTACTTAAAAATGTTGATTTTGATGAGAGATACAAAGCCCATGTTTGAGAATCATTATTTTGAGAAAATGAAGTTTTGAGTAATGATTTTTTGAAAAATGTGTGATTAAAAAATAAGGAAAATTATTGGATTTACGCGTAAAATATTTTCTTATGTAAATGTGTAGTTAAAAATGAGTATGAAAATTAAATAATTTTGAAATAATGGTTGTCAAATTGGGCAAAGTATGATAGGGATGCATGTGGGATGTGGAATTGTATTTAGGGTAATGCTACAGGTACATAACCATTCACATAATGGTTCACATAATTACACGTGGCATGTGATCCTGNGGTTCACATAATTACACGTGTCATGTGATCCTGCCTTTAATTCAACTTTCACACTTACACATCAATAAGTGGATGATTGTCACGTTACCATTTTGTGAACCATTATGTAGAGGGTTATGTGCAACTAGATTAATCCTTGTATTTATATGTGACGGATTTGTAATTGATTCTAAAAGTTTATATTTTACGGTGGAAAATTAATGACTGAGAGACCACGTAAATACAATACATTAAGACATGATGTGATACATTCAACCATTATTTAATAATTTTTGAATAATGCTATTTGTAAATAATAGGGTTATATAATGATTTACTCATAATGTATCAAAAGAAAGTGGGAAATTTTATTATTATTATTATTATTATTATTTGGTCGAAAAATTTAAATGCAAGTATATCTCACTATATCATGTGTATATAAATCATTATGTACATTTATACATGAGTGAGTGTATATTGCTTATAATATTAGTATGTAATTTAATTTTTTTTCGATGTAAAGTCATGTTTTCATGAAATTCAAGTCTTGACATCGCCATTAAGTTTGGCTTTCGACTTTGGTGGCTTATGAGCCAGTATTTCCAACACGTTTTATCTGTTGTGAGTGGTTTGTTCTAGAATAATTTTTGCCTAAATTGTCTTCAACAGTTTCTTATTGTTAAAGAGAACTGCTCGAGTGGCTGAAACCTCTGTATAATAAATTTCTTCATAGAAGACAAAATATACGTATTATGCTCCCAAATTCTACAAACCTGAGAAAACCCATCTGCGTATTTTGCGTGTACGGACTACTGAGGTCCCTTTCTACCTTCCACAGCTGGTCACTTCAATTTTTTCTCCGTACTTTCAACTTATAATAAAAACAACTGAATTCAGACAAAAAACACTGACAACAATAACGACTTTGATAACCTTAATGAACTTTCCCTTTTCACATTACAATTCCAACCTATGTGTACATATTTGAGCCTATAATGTCCTAATTTTCAAGAAGTGAAAGACTGACTATATACAATACAGTCAGGTTTCGTTGTAGCAGTAGAATCGGCTCAAGCCCAATTATGAGGATAATCAACTGGTGTTTGAAGAAGTTCCGTTACTACGTTGTTTTCTCAAAGGAAGCCATGTTTATATTTGGTAGATTCAGTATAATTATAGTATCTATAGCCGATTATTTCTGATTATTTATTCCTAATTTCTAGCACTTTGCTTAAATTTCTGTAGGCCTCATATTTGTTCACAGTTTCGTAGAGATCGCGCTGGTAAATATATTGATCACCCATCTCCAAGATGAATGGGAATGGGGCGTACCAAAATCGGCTATAGCCGTCAATTTACAGGAAGGAACCTCGGAAGTTCTGCAAATTTTATTTGCTTTTGCATCGGATGCCTATCTGGGCCGCTTCAAAATGGTGGTTTACTCCACCATATCTTACATCATTGTGAGTAGTCATGAGTGATAAACGTTAAACCCATCTCACTCTGTCGTATTCATGAATTTTCTAAATCAATCGACTTTTTGTAGGGATTAGTGCTGTTCTGGAATGCAGCCCCGCATACAAATACAGAGATTCGAACTTTTTACTTAGGACTGGTGCTAATAAGTATTGCAAAAGCAGCAAAAGAGGTATCATTGAAAGCATTTCTTGATGATCAATTCATGGCGAAGGATATCCCAGCCACAGAAGAGGATGAAGAACGACAACATAGCCGTAGCAATGTCTGGTGGCGCTCTGCATCCATCTTGGGTGCTCTTGCCGCTGTTTTTGTCCCGATTAGTTCATTGAAGCTGCTTTCTATGATCTCAGCAATTGCAATGGTGGTTGCATACTTGTGGTTCTGGTTAGGTGCAAAATTTTACGAATGCAATAGACCAACAGGCAGCGCCATCTCTGATGTTCTATTTGTTATCAAAACAGCAGTACTAAAAAGAAATCTTCTCTATGCAACTATTCCAGAGCATCTCTTCAACAATTATAAAGGTGTTACACATATTGAGCCTCGTATTTCATGGTTGAGGTATGTCCCTTTACTTGGTTTCTTACTTACAACGTAGACTATGAGATCATTGATCTTATTTACTAACCATGTACTGCATTTTGTTTGTTAAACGACAGGTGGTTAGACAAAGCTCCCATTGTGATTGAAGAGAAAAATAGGCCTGACAAGCCTTGCTCCGTTGCACAAGTGAAGGAAGTGAAATTTTTATTAGGGATGGTTCCTATGTGGATAACGTTCCTTGCATACAGTCTGGTTGATGCAACAGGGAGCACCATCTTTCTCGAACAAGCTAGCAACATAAATGACAATTTCCCTATTGCTGTTTTCAAAATATTAGTAATAGTCACAAGCATTGTAATTGAATGTCTATGTGACCTTCTATTTAGTGAAATGAATGGACAACTCATAATGCAGGGGAGAATTGGTATTGGAATGACATTTTCTGTCATTTGTTGCATATTTGCTTGGAAAAATGCAGTTCACTGGCTGTATTTGGTCAAGAGATACACCCATCCAAGTAAACATATGGATATTTATAGCCTAACTCCACAATTTATCTTCTTGGGAATTATGAAAGGACTTTCAGAAGGTGGGCTTCAAAGTTTCTTCCGTTCCCAGGTTTCTGAATCCCTAAGGAACTACGAACCACTGTTTGGAGAATGTGTGATAGGCATCGGAAAGTTTCTGAGTATACTCTTTATCCTCATTTTCAGTAGCTGGTTTGGGAAGGATATAGATTCAAGTCGTTTGGACAATTATTATGCGATGCTGACACTACTAAGTTTTGTCAACTTTCTAATCTACTGGTTGGTTGCGTATTGGTATGGAGATGATCAATTTTCACCTGAACCACTCATAGAAGGTGCACAAGACAGAACGCATATGGAGACCAATAACCTTCAAAATATTAGTGCTTCAACAGGGATAACACGATCCTTATCTGAAAAGACGCCCAATAACCGCCCAAATTTCAGTGTTTCCAGGAGGAGAATGCGGTCCTTCCCCGGTCCTGCTTCCCCTAGAACTCCGAACAGACTGGATGATGCACACGTGCAGGAAAGAGAAGAATTACTCCATGTATAAAAAAAATATTTGATTGTGAACATCGTGATGTTTTGTGAAATTGGTCTATGATATTACTCCTTTAAATTGATCATGGAAAGGTATTAAAATGGCTGCAAGACTCAATCCCTCCAGACTCCTTCCTATCATTTTGTTTCCTACTATGTTGTGATTACTTATTTTTCTCACTTTGTATTGCTTAGTTTTTTCTTTCTGATATAGATAAGTCTCTGATTATAAATATATTTTAATGTACAAAAAACAATATTTTCTGTTTCTGGTGCCAAACCACTGATAAATCATCGGACCAAAATATGGATTTTCCTACTTCTGATCCTTCAATAATTCAAAATTATCACGAAAGTCCGATTAACTATCTTTCAAATGAAATTGAGCTATTGCTAACTTTGTATAAGGACTAGACATGGAAATTCAAAACCAATTGCTAAGTGAACGATTACGAGCAGACAATTATTATTTATTCATGTTATTAATTGCCATTTGACCATTGATTGAGAAATTTTTTGTTAAAACTATTTCTTAATTATCCGAACAAAGATAATATCAGTGACGTTAGATAATATTATTTGCTAAATACAAATAAATATATTGTGACTTATATTTCATGCAGACAATTCAAATTGATTAATGTCATTACAGGCCATTGGACTGTTGATTCACAAAATTGTCTTCAATGAATACGAGACATCGTCCGCGTAGATTGGGTATTTCAATTGAAAAAGGATGTGTGAATGCATGCAATGAAAAGGGAGGCTTCCAAGTTTGAATGGTGCAAGTTGGATTTCACATCATCAATTATTACGAGAATAGGATAAAGAGAGTAAAACCAAAGATCCTTTTCCCAAGTTATTTGGCCAGAATTATTCTAAGGAGGTGTTTCATGTTTGGCACCCATTAATTGTTTAAAAAAAAAAAAAATTCTTTCTTAATTATAATCGCACATTCTCCAAAAAAAATTAATATTACACACAAATTTAAAACTTTTCATTATTTTTTAACTACGCATTCTTCCATCAATCACTATTTCAAAATTTATATTTTTCCAAAAATGAAAGCCAAACACATGCTAAATGTGCGTCCAATGGGTTACATCTTTAGCTTGTGTTATTTTTAAAATTGTCCAATCATTTGCGAGTACATGTCACAATATAAAAAATAATGTACAACAAAATGTATATGTAACATGATTGATTTGGCCAAAAGGGGAGGGAGAAGATACATACACGCGCTTGTACAAATATAGATTGATAGTCAGAGATGGCTCAAATATCAAGCGACGATTGTCCAAGGGCTTGGGAGTTTCTTTTACCGATCTTGGACGACACCGTTTATGAGGGATTGAAAAAATTGATGCTTGCTAGTTTTTTTT